ATCGCTCCTTTCCAGAGCACATTCTCTGCTTGGGGGGGCTGGGCTGGGAGTTCTCACTGAGATCTCATGCTGTGGCCTGTGCAGGGCTGTAAGTCTGAGATAACAGGATGTCCCTGCAAGTTTCTGTATCCCAACCAAGCTAAGAATAGTCAGGAAGCAAAACAAGCTGAACGTTATAATTGGGTTATTTTCCTGTGCCCTGAGCAAACACAGCAGCCTGAGCTGGCTGTGGTGAGGGAGCTGCGTGTCCTGGACACGGCTCCTGACAGCAGTTATCAGTGTTGCATGAGGCTGTGTCTAATCTTCTGCCTCCTCATTGGGGCGAGCTGTGATTCTGGGACAGGAGGGGAGCGAGGAGCCTTATCTCTGCCCAGATAACACTGTCACAGCCTGGCTGGGACAGCTCGAAGCACCAAGTGCTTTGGAGAGACGCAGCATCTTGGTGCCCAGGTCTCGGGCGCTGGAGGACAGGCTGTGCTTGTCCTTATCTCAGCTCCTAACCCTCGCTTTTTCCAATCTGCCTTGAATTCTGCTAGATAACCAGGCATGTCAGACTCTGAAGAGGTCGTCGAAGAATATGAGCAGTAAGTGGTGTGTTTTTAAACTCTCTTTCTTTCTCCTTATTCCCACTTTCCCACAGGGTTGCAGGGTGGCTTAGAGGTGCCGTTCAGAGGGCACTGGCTCTTGTCATTACCCCAGCACCCAGCATGAAATCCCCCCACCCTGTGCCCATCTGCATCGCTGCTGTGATAGTGCCAAGACCCCCAGCAGTGGGGAGTTTTGCATCAGGAGCGGTATCAGCACAAACGTGGCAAGGGACAGACCCTGCATTCAAATGCTGCAGCTTAAACCAGGGAGAAGTTGATGTCATCGCTCTGCTGCTGATGGGTTTCTTCTGCCACATCCAGAGCATCACTTCCCAAGGCCCAAATTTGAGGGCAACTTTTGCTGGTGAGGGATGCTGGGCCATGAGGTGCCCCCTGGAGAGAAGAGACTCAATATCTGCAATACAGGGTTAGAGGGATCAGTTCAAACACAGCTCCTATATCTCATCCACCGGCAGAAAACATATAGAAACACAGAATCATACAATGGTTTGGGTTGGAAGGGACCTTTCAAGGTCTCTAGTCCAACCTCCCTGCAGTGAGCAGGGACATCTTCAACCAGACCACGTTGGTCAGAGCCCCAACCTGACCTTGAATGTTTTCAGGGATGGGGCACCTACCACCTCTCTGGGCAACCTGGGCCAGTGTCTCACCACCCTCAGTGTAAAAAATGTCTTCCTTACATCTAGCCTAAATCTATTCTCTGTTTTAGTTTTAAACCATCACCCCTTGTCCTATCACAACAGGCCCTGCTGAAAAGTCTGTCCCCATAAGGGATGTTTGTCCCCATAAGGGAAGGATTCAGTAGATCTGAATCCTTCTCTCACGTTTAAATGCCACAACAGAGTTGCATTTCTCGGCAATCACTCTGACCCCTGTCCCCACTGTCCCCCCCAGCACAGCCGAGGACAGACTGTGCATCTTCCCCAAAGTCAGGAAAGGACTTTGGGGCAAAGATGGGATGTGAGATGCCTGTTTCTAGGATTACAGGCCATGGTCACTCTATCTTCTCAAGCTGCAAAATGGTGTTGTGCTCTGACTGCTGTTGAAGTGGCAGTCGAGCACTTCAGCTCCTGCCATCTGCAGACTGTGGGGTGATTTGGGCTTTGTCCCATCCCCACTGTCACCTTACAGCATGTCACACAGCAGCCTGCCCAGCAGTCATTACCCATTGCTATGGAAAAGGGGAGCCAGCTTTGAGGAAATTTCAAATTCCCCTTTGGCCTCACTGATGGACACACCTGCCCCGTTGCAGCAGATCACTGTAACTCCACAAATTTGTGTTGTGCTTTGCAGGGAGCAGGAAGGTAAGAGGACATGGAGCATCTGCAGCTGCTCTGAGGCTGAAGCTATGAAATGATCAGAGCAACTTCAATAACCTGCATCTTCTTTCCCTTCCCTCTCTCCCCTGCGCACATGTGCTGTATGAAGAGGAGTACGTGGAAGAAGGTAAGTGTTTCACTGGTGGTTGCAGGACCAAGAGACAAGTGCTATCGGTTCATGGGTGGGTTGTGGTGGTAAGCTCCTTGACTGCAATGGGCAAACCATGACCAGGAAAGGCAGATGAAACCATGTTCTAGATTTCTCCACCTGAAACATCAGTAGGATCAAAACCAGTCTGAATTTTCTCAGTAACTCTTTTGTCAGAGTGATCTCTTGACTTAAAACAGGGGTGGAAACGCTGGGCTCGAGCACTGGCAGAGGTGTGCACCCAGTAACTCAATGGGAGCTGGAGCCTCAGCTGAATGTACATTAATGATGCTCAAGCACAAACCTCCAACTGCCTCAGTCTGACAAAGAAGCAAACCCCACGGTGCACGCAGCCGCCTTGGGACACAGCTGGGCTGTGCATTTGGGGCTGGGTGGGGAGGTGGGTTTTGCTGCTTCAGAGCACTGCTGGGCAGCCTGGGCTGCTGTGTGGCAAAAACATCTTGAATGTTAAAAACAAAGAGAGGCATAAAGGGGGAAAGCACCCCAGTGCGAGTCCTCATCTCATGCACACTCCACAGCTTTATGGCATCCAACTAACCTCTGCGCTTATTCCTTTCCCTCCTCCCTGGCTCAGAAGAGGAAGAATGGATGGAGGAAGAAGACGGTAGTTATTACACCTTTCTTTATTTCATCTCTCCACTGCTGCTGTGAATATGTCGTGGGTCGGTGTGTCTTTTGCCTCTCCCTGGTTGGGAAATGGTTTTCTTTCATTCTTCCACTTCTCTCTCTTGCTTCTTGCACTCCACCCTTCCTGCCCTGCTGTGCTGTCCTGTGTCCATGGCTCCTCTCTTACATCTATCAACCAAGTGCACTTGTGGTTTACTGTATCTTCTTTTCTTCCTTTCTCTCTTGCTGTGGGACCACAAGTCTTCCCAGGACTTGTGAGCCCCAACATAACTCTGACTCCAGTGGAGGACTCTTGTGGGGATACTGCTCCCTCCAGTGGAAAAATGCTCCAACAAGTGTCATAAGTGAGACTGTGACATTCTTTAGTGCCAGTCAGTCTTGTTCTTCACTGGCTAGAGGAGACAGATGGAAATCCCTTCCCCTCATTCTGGGGTATAAGAGCATGATAGCATGAGAGGGAATGAGGGACAAACCAGGAGGAGGCTATAAATATTTTTTATTATTATTATCTTTTTCCCCCCCCTGCCCAAGCACAGAGAGCAGCCCTTGGGTACAGGTTAGAGCGAAGCCCTTTGCTTTCTGAGCCATGGCTTCTTTATCCTGTGGCTACGTCTCACCCGGGTCTGTCTCTTGGATGGCTCCAGGCTGCAGCTGTCCTGATACCGGGGTCTGTAGGGAGCCAGTGGGAGTGGTGGTTGTTGGACTCACATTGACCATTATTCCACAGGTCAGGAAGAACAGGTAGAGGAGGCAGAGGAGGAGACTGAAGAAACCAAGGCAGAAGGTGTGTGGTGGCTTCACCAGCTTGGCTGGAGCCATGCTCTGCTTCGGGTGGGATGCCAAGGAGGGTCTGAGATGCCCCAGCGTGGCCTGTGACAATGGGCCAGTAGCACAGAGGGGCAGCTCTTGCACATATCAGTAAGGAGGTGTCAAAACTGAGCTGCCTTTTCCTGATCTACCAACCACCTTTGGGTTGCAAACATGAGGACAGTCGTGTTTTCTGCTGGTTGCTGATCAAACAGTTTGTGTCCAGCGCTCTGAAATAATGCCAGCAATTAGTTAAGCCTTTTTACACCAAGAGGTCCTTGTAGCCTTAGAGCAGGGATTTCCAGAGCTGGGGTCATGCTCTGATGTTTCTCACCATCCAAAGAGCACTGGACTTCAGGAAACCTCTTTGGAGGTTGGGATGGCCTGATGTGTGTCCCTGTGCTGTCACAGCTGGTGGGGCAGGCTCAAATCCCAGCTGTGCACCCTGAGTTAGGGTGCTGGGACCCCTCCGTTCTGGGGGGATGTGGTTGCCCTCACCCACAGATGCTCATATTCTTCCTATTACTTTTGAAACAGAACAAGAAGATGAAACGAAAGCACCAGAAGAAGGTAAATCAGGAGTGGAGGAGAGATGGTTTTGGGCACTTCAGTCCTGATCCCAGTTCCCAAAGACACTGGGCCCTTGTAATGAGGTTTTTGGTGTTTAATTCACTTGCTGCTGAAGAGTGAGAATCTGCAGTAAATGGTGCAGAGCTGTCCTGGCCAGGGCTGGGGCTGCAGGAGGCTTGCAGGAGGGATGGCTTTGTGCTGCCTAGGTAAGAAACCCACCCAAAATACAGCAGGAGAATGGGTAGTGCTGCTGCTTTCCCATCCTGAGCTCTTTCAAAGCTTGTCTGGGTTCCTCCTGGAAAGGATCTGGGACTCTCCTGGTCTGTCTGTGAGTGAGGGATGTCCATGAGGGAGCTGCCTGTTCATCCTGGAAGGATGGAGCTGTGTTTTGCAGTGGGGATGAACACAGGACAGAGGGGAACATCCTGGTTGGACCATCCCACGGTGTCCATGGGCAGGGTGCACAGTAGGGCTGGCCTCCGGGAGCCAAAGCATGGTGTTTTCCACAGGTGGAGAGGGGGACCGAGAGCAGGAGCCTGGGGAAGGTGAAGTATCCATCCTTGTTCCTCTCTGGGGTGGGAGGGACCGTCCCCTCACCTGTGTAAGGTGGTACCAAACACCTTTCTGCTCAGCCAGGAGCACCAATGTGTGTCTTGGCTTTTGGCACACAGATGAACACCTCACTGCATGCCTCTTCGCTGGAGGATGATCCACAGTGCAACCTGTGCTGCTGGGACAGAGGGGTAGCTCAGCTCAGTGTTGTGGGTTTTGGGTCAAGGTGTGAAAGTAAATGCTCCCGTGACACTAACATTGTCTTTTTCTCCTTCTCCTGGGGACCTGCAGGTGAATCGAAGCCAAAACCCAAGTAAGCGTTGGTGCATTTTCTCTGGTGCAAGGTCTGACCTGGGAGTTGTGCCAGGGCAGAAGCTCCATGTGATGGGCTTAGCACCATGATCCATAAAGGGCATGGGACAGTGAGATCTCAAAAACATGAAAGCGGGGTGAGATTGGGACATGGAGAGAAAAAGGGAGAGAAATAGGCAGATAAACACAGAATACAAAGGACGTCCTGAGAATGAGGTCTTTTGGCAGTTTTGAAGCATTTTGTGTGCTTCTTGGGGGAAGCCCAGCTGCCCTGTGGCCCCACAGCTGGAAAAAAATCAGTGTGTGCCCCAGCCTGGGGTACAGAGTCCATGGCACAGCCAGGGTCTTGTTTCTGCAGTGTGCTCCTGGCCATGGCTGGCATGAAGCACACATTTGCATGAGCACCAGCATCCCAGGGACAGGAGCACCTGCCTGAAGGAGCGGGACTGTGAACCATTGCCAGAAACCTGTGGGTCCTCCTGGACCCATGGGATGCTGCGGTGTGGGAGGCAGGTCTGTCCTCAGCCACCATATCTTCACCCCTTTGTGTCTCTGTGTGCCCCTACTGAGCTTCTCCTGTCCTCCCTCAAGCCCACAGAGGAGGAGAGGATGGTTTCCAGCTCCCTGTGCCAGATCACACTGGGGCACACCATTCCTCTGTGATCTTTTGGGTGAGCAGTGGGGTGGCTGCCAGACCTAGGGTGCCTGGCAAAGGGTCATGGCCAAGTTGCCTGCAGCTTGCAGAGTTATTCCAGCCATGCAGGCGCCTTGGAGTGCTTCCCAGGAAGGCCAGAGGTCTTCCTCTGAGCCTGTCCAGCTGGCAACCTCCAGCAAGCAGCTTTACACTTCCCTATCCTGCAAACGTGCTCGCTTTGCATCCCTGAGGACTGCGAGGCTCAGAGATGAGGGCTGGGTAGATCAGTGCATGGGTGAAAGGCACCGTTCTGTCCCAGGTATCTGCTGCAGGCTGACCATCCTCCTGCTCACCTTCGATTGCAGGGTCTTCATGCCAAACCTGGTGCCTCCCAAAATCCCAGATGGTGAGAGACTGGATTTTGATGTAAGTAGAGCACTCAATGCCAACCCCTGCGTGGTGATCCCCTCACGTCGCTTCTCCTCACTGTCCCCAGCAGCTCTGCAGCTCCTGGGGAGCTTCGCTGGTGGCCATGTAGCCATTGCCGCTGTTTCTATCCGGTGCAGGACATCCACCGCAAGCGCATGGAGAAGGACCTGAATGAACTGCAGGCCCTCATTGAAGCCCACTTTGAAAGTAGGAAGAAGGAGGAAGAGGAGCTCATCAACCTTAAGGACAGAATTGTATGTCTGCACTCTTCCTTCTCTGTTGCTATTGCCACCCACTTCCCTGTGGGCACAGAGCCGCGGTCCGGAGACATCCCATGTCCCTGCAAGACAGAGCCTGAGATTTGAGCCAGATTTTGTGCCCCAGTGCCTGGGAAGCCCCTGGTCTGGCTGCTGTGATGCTGTGGTGCCTAACGGAGATGCACCTTCCCCCATGGTCACTGCTCCACATGCTCCCTTAGTACACACAGGAGCAGCAGATCTGCCCTTGCGGTTCTCAGGGCTTTTGGGGTCAGGGATGCACAGGTCACAGAGGATGCAGATTCCCCAGAGTGTCCAAGCCAACATCCTCTCCTTCTGCAGGAACAACGGCGAGCGGAGAGGGCAGAGCAGCAGCGGATTCGCAGCGAGAGGGAGAAGGAGCGCCAAGCCCGCATGGCCGTGAGTCTCCCTCCGGGGACAGGGGGCTCAGGCTGGTCTTGGGTAGCACAAGTCCAGCCATGGAGCACATGGGAGCATGAGCTGTGTGTTACATGCAAGCTGATCTGTGAAGTCTCCATCTCTCTGCTCCTGACCCACTTCTGACCCTGGCAGGAAGAAAGAGCTCGCAAAGAGGAAGAGGAGGCGCGCAAGAGGGCTGAGGAGGAAGCACGGAAGAAGAAAGCTTTCTCCAACATGCTACATTTTGGAGGCTACATGCAGAAGGTATGATCCTACCCCAGGTGGTTGCAATGAAACCACAAATGCTCCTGGGAAGTGTTCAACCCTGGGCTGGTATCACAGCACTGTACATGTTCCCAGTGTTGGTAGACTGTGTTTTCTACAAGTAGAAGACAGGCCACTGTTGTTGGGTCACAGCAGTGGTGGGAGGGCCAAAGAGAGCTGGGAGATCTTTGCAAGAGCTGGACAGGGCAGGTCTAGCCTTGGCCTCAGGGACAGGGATGGGGATGAGGGTTTGTCTTGTCCACTATTGCCAAAATTTCCTTGAGAACCTTGTGCTTCTGGAGTCCCCAAAGCTGAGGGTGTTGGAGGCACAACTGACGACAGGGGTAAGACAAAGACTGGGCAGATTTTCTTCCCTCTAATGGACTGATGGTTTCCCCAGTCAGAGAAAAAAGGTGGAAAGAAGCAAACAGAGAGGGAAAAGAAGAAGAAGATCCTCAGTGAACGGCGGAAGCCCCTGAACATTGACCACCTGAATGAAGACAAGCTGAGGTGAGCATGGGCTGCAGGAGGGATGTCCTAGACATGAGCTCTGGTTTGGTTCCCACCTCCTGGGGCAGGATCCTGGGCTGGAGTGGGCTGCCTGGGGCTTACAGCCCAGACAAGAGGGTGATGGCACAGCTGGGAGACGGGCTGTGACACCCCACTGGGGACATGGGCTCCTTGGCTCTGCCGGGCCACCACTGCCAGGCTGCTGCAGACAGCGCTGGCCATCAGAGGGAGCCAGGGTCACACACATGGGACATGCATGTCCCCATCCCTCCCGACCTCACCAGGGCTCTGGTCCACGCGTGGTACTGGCATCGCCCTCCAGCTAACACATCCCCGTTTGGGGATGGAACCTGCAGTGACCAGTCCTGGGGGAGAAGGGGAGATGATGGCATCACTGCCCTGTCCCCTGCAGTGAGCTCCCTGTGAGCCACGTCCCTCTTCTGCACTGACACTAGCCAGCTCTTCCCACAGGGACAAGGCCAAGGAGCTGTGGCAAACCATCCGTGATCTGGAAGCTGAGAAATTTGACCTGCAGGAAAAATTTAAGAGACAGAAATACGAGGTGAGCTGTGAGATCCTCCGTGAGCTTGGTTGCCCTCTGTGTGCCTGGTTGCTCCTTCTGCTCCCCATCTAGGAGGCACAATGGGTTGTCTGACTGATGGTGCTGTCGCGGGACTGCATCAGGAAAGGACTGTGCCCCCTCCTTGTGCGTGGGGTGACAAACACCCAAGAGGCTCTGCACATCTGCTTCCCTTTTGGAGATGAGCCAGGATCAAACCAACCCTCCCAGTGGTTGTCAGCCACCCTGACAAGGCTGAGCACACAGCTATGAAATGCTGGAGGATGTGACCGCTGGTGAAAGGGGCTGTGGGGTGGCTCTGTGATCTCCCAGCTCCTGGGGACATGTGCTTTGCACCGCAACAGGCTTCCCGCAGCACTGCACATCACAGCCCCGTGCTAAACCCTGTGCAAGAACCGCTGGGGAATAGAGAGCAGTGTTGCATCTTCATCTTGACTCTCATCCCCAGCTCAGCGTGGGGCATCTCGCCAGGCCTCACCATCCACCTCTGTTTTTCTTGCAGATCAATGTCCTCCGAAACCGTGTTAGTGACCACCAGAAAGTGTAAGTCCCCAGGCAGGCTGAGCATCCTTCCTTGTGCATCCCGCTTCCAGCTCCCTGCTCCCCTGCCCCAATTCCCTCCCTGTGCATCTCCTGGCTCTCTTATACCCTCACAGATCCACCTCCTGTCCTTCCCACTCCTGCCTCTAGTCCCACTGCTATCTGGTGTTCATAGACCTGCAGGTCCAGCCCAGGGACCTCAATCTGTGCTGCTCTGCTCCCATTGACAGACCCCCATTACCTCCCACCTCCACCAGCCTCCCGCTGCCCCAGAGACCTGGGCTGGGGCATAGACCCTGAGGAGACCCCACCTCTGCACATGGAGCCTTTTGTCCTGTGGGGTCCTGCCAACCTCCAGCCACCTCCATCCCTGCAGTGGCTCTGCCCAGCATCTCAGGGAAGGTGCTGGAGATCCCAGTTTGTGTAGGAAGGGAAACCCCACGGGCTGTGGGAGCTGTGCAGCCCCACAAGGTCAGGGGAGCCTGTCATCATGCCCATGTTCCCTGTACAGGACTGGGGAACCCTTTGTAGAAGGTTGGAGGTGGGTGTTTAATGCCCACCCTTGGGAGCACCATGCTGCTCTCGCATCCCCATCCCACCCTGGTGTCTCACATGGGAGGTGGTCAGCCTGCCCCGTGTGTCGAGTAGCAGCATCTCCCACTCACTTACACTAAATCTCTCTTCTCTTCTGCCCCAACATGGTCTGTTTCTGCAGCAAAGGGTGAGTACAGGTGTTTCCCAAGGGCTGTGTGTGTCCCACTGCACGCGTGCTGCATGGATGCTGGGGCTAACATCAGGGTAGCAGCAGAGGGAGGAGGCAGTGCCAAGGTTTGGCAGCCAAAGCTACACTGGTGACTCTGAGGGTGATGTGCCAGAAATGCCCTTCACTGTCCACCCAAACCTCCTCCTCCTCCTCCTCTCTGCTGACCAATGCTCAAAACCTGCTCCCCTGATGCTGATTAATGAGAGTGATGTGGTGGGTCCTGGCTAACAGCTTCACAGCTTCTGGTTCTTGGGAGAAGGATCCTACAGCCATTGGTGTCCCTCCACAACCGAAGATCTAACTCATTGATTATTTTCTGAAAGATCTTGGGGAGGGAGAAACATGCAAAAAGAATTTGGGATCCTTAGAAACACCTGGCAAAATGCATGAGCTTGTTCCCATGGAATCCCAAAACACACAGACTGAATCAGATCCCAAGGTTTTACCTGGAGCCACTGGAAAACTTCTTCCCCACAGGGCAGTGAGCATCATCTGGAGATGACTCAGTCCTCTTTGCAGGACTGCTGATGGCATCCACCTTGTCCCTTCTTTCATGGTTGTGAATACCTTTTTGCACGTGCTTTTCTGTTTCCTTTCCAGGTCAAAGGGTGCCCGTGGGAAGACCATGGTGGGCGGCCGGTGGAAATAGATGACTCAGAAGGGCAAAGAAGGCTCAGCCACAGAGAGGTGCATTGCCTTTTGGTTGACCAGTGGGCTTCCCCACATCATGGAGCCTGCACTGTGCATCTACTCGCCCTCCCACTGCACAGCTTGCAAAGACCTTGCTGCAGGCACAGGGCTGTCTGGGTGGGCAGATGCTTCGCCAAGTGCCATTTCTCAGCTCCACACCCCCAGCTGATGTTGTGTCTGTAAATAAAGAGAACAGTGAGGGGTTGTGAGTGTTGTCTCCATCCTGAAGCTCTGAGCCCAGAGGAAACAGGCACAGGACAGTCTCAGCAGAGCTCAACCGAGCAAGTGCAGTTGCACACCCGCTCCCTGGGGTGGAAGAGGACCATCCAGGACCTCCTGAATAACGTGTCCCCTTGCCTCACAGCATCTCACACCTACAGTCCTTGGGAGGTTTTGTATCAGACCTCAATGGTGTGACCTGCTTTTCCTGCTGCAGTCTGGGGCCATACTAGTTATGGCCACTTTGGTACTTGCTTTTGCTGCACCAGAGTCCCCCTCACACCCCTCTGTGTCAGGGTTGGCCCTGTGGGACAGCATGGATAGGGACACCACTTCCAAGCCTCTTAGTCCATGAGTTAGTCACAAACTCTGCTTCCAGACCATTTTCATTCCTATTTTCACCTCTTCCTAAAGGGCCCAGACCAACTGTGTTTGTCACTTCTGCAGGTTTCTGACAGCATGCAACAAAGACTTGAGATGAATGAGTATGGAGACACCATTTATCTGTCCTTTCAGAGGTGCAGATCTCTCTCACTTAGCTTTAGGCATCTCTGTAGCACACTCCCACATGCAGTGCCCCTGGGGACACATCAGCTGCACAAGCCCTAATGTTCGTGGTGCATGGATCTAGACTGTCTAGTCAGCAAAAGACACTGGGATTGTGTGACCATTTCCTGGGGCAAGCTGTCCCTCGCTGTTCAGCAGCATCCGTCGGGTGTTTCCCAGAGCAGTGGGGAAGGGATGGATGCACAGGTTGGTGGATCTTCAAAGGCTTCTTTGGCAAGACACTTTGTCTCCCCTCTTGCTGGGGCTGCCTGCCCTATCCATCCCAGACCTAGTGATGTGGGGGCATCCTGCAGGTTTCTGCCTTCTGCTGCCTGTTGGATGATGACTTATCTTGCCTATTTCAATGCATGCTATCAGGTTTTGGGGAGCAAGGCTCTGGAAAGCCTCAACTTCAGTGAGGCAGCAAGTGGGGGGCAACCAGCCCCCTATCAACCACCTCCTCAAGAGAGAGGTGTGGAGGGATGGACGTGATTCCTTATTGGGACAAAAGGGGAAAGCTGGGGAGGGTGGCAGTGCTGGGACATGAAATACCCGGAAAGTGGCTGAGTGAAGGTCTGGTAAGTGACATTTCCACCCTGCCTGATGCATGGTCCTGGGAGAGGGGAGTGCTCAGGGCAGAGAGGCATGTCTGGCTTGGAAAGAAAAATCCCCTTTTCCCATGCTCTGAAGGTCCACCCTCTACACCTTTCTGGCAGCAGAGGCAGAGCCCTGGTAGTGCTGGTGCCCATGCAGAGGCACTGCAGCCTCTCTGCCTGTCCCTGCGGGGCTGGCAGCGCCCAGGGTGGGGGTACAGAGGCACTCCCTGCTTCCCACAGCACGGCCTGTCTCGGCAGCGCGCTGGCCCCCCGCCAGCCTGGCTCCCTGCGCGCCGGGGCCGAAACCTGCGGCACCTCCCTCCCTGCGCCCGGTGCTGGATGGCACAGCCCTGCCAGAACAGCTGAGTCAGCGCCCAGCCCTGCCACCGACCCTCCCCTGCTCCCCCTCCCACTGGTGTCTGTGGCTTTCCACTGTGGTGCTCGGGCATGGCAGAGCGTGGTGCAAGATGCTGAAATCCTCTGGGATGTGGCAGAGCACTCTGGGGTCTTCTCCAGGGTGCTGGCATCCTCCCAAGTGTTGCATGGGCTGCGTGGTGATTGCAATGGCACAGGATGTTGTGCCAAGGTTTGCTGGAGCACGGGGCAGGTGCTGTAGGCTGGTGAGCAGCTCTGACGTGCAGACGTGCTGTCCCCATCCTGCCATGCACAGCATTTGTTTTGCAAGTGGATGAGCCTTAGGTTGGCGCAGTGGACCAGGGATTGGCCATGGTGCTGTGCACTGCTGAGTGAGGGACCCCTGGCAGCAGCTTTTGGAGGGCCATGCAGGGTGCTAACAACCTTGCAGTGCCATGTCATCGTGGAGATTTTCAGTGTACTAGTGTCCTGCAGCACTGCTGTGTGATCTCACAGAATCATTAAGGTTGGAAAAGACCTCTAAGATCATCGAGTCCAACCATCAACCTAACACCATCATGCCCACTACACCATGTCCTGAAGTGCCTGTCTCTCCCACACCACCAACACCACCACCTTCAACAGTTGATGCACATCTGTCCTCCAATACCCAGTTGTATTCTAACAAGATCATTTCCAGCTACAAACCCCACCACCCGCTGTCAATCATTCACACGAGGGCTGAGCTATTCTTGGATGAGAGGTCTGTTAGCAGCCCCTCCCAAGACCCCATCCATGTATTGCTGCTGAAGCTGCCAACATTTATAAATATCTCTGAAACCAAGTCTGATCAATGGAAAAAGATGTTTCTCCTTTTCTGTTTTTCCACCAAAATGTCACAATGTCCCCATGGGCAGGAGGAGCTCTGGATGATGGATCAAAGCACCAACATTCTCTGGAGCATGGTATGAGGGGTAGAGAGCTCTGCCCTCCCTAGCAGAGCATCTTCCCAGGATCTATGAGGTGCAGCATCCTCTAGCATGTTGCAGAGGAGCAGCATCTTCTGCCATAGCTTGCAAATATCCTTCATGCTCTGGTCCTTTGAGGAGCAGTCCACTCTGGAGCACAGCACATGAAAATCATGTCTGCTCAAGCCCAACTCTGGTGTCTCAGCCAAAGCAATGGACAGAGATCAGGTTGTGTCCCATGCAACCTGTGCAGTGCAGGATGCCAGGATTCCTTTGGCTGCTCTGAGAAGACATTGTCAGATGCTGCAGTGAGGCCTGTGTGCTGGTGGCTGCAATGCAGGGCTCATGTCCTACAGCGCAGTATGGCACAGGAGGCCTCTGCCCTCCCCAGGGTGGTACCAATGTCCTGGCCAGAGTTCAAAGCTCCAGAGGCTGCTGCCAGCCTGGGCTACAAAGCCTCCTCCTCTGGCATTCAGTATGAGTGTCCCAACACTACTGCATGAGCCTGGACCCCAGCAGACCTGTGCCCAGGTCTCATGAGCATGTCCACCTCATGGTCTCTTGATGCAAACCCATGCCAAGGTGTGTCCCAGGGTACCAGTGTCCCCGCATGGTGGAATGGATGCAACAGGAGATGCATTTACCCAGAGCTGCTGGTAAAATGTTGAGCTGATATTTTGTGCAGTGATTGTGCTAACCCAGAGCTGTGCGTAAGGCACAATCAGAACCCAGGACTGCTCCCAGAGTCAAAGCCAGGCTGAAATACAGATATTGCAGGGCCTGGTCTTGCCACCACAGCTACAGATAGAAACAGCCTGCTCGTGTCTTTGATCAGGTCACATTACATACGGATGCTCCAGACAGCACAGGAGAATCTGCAGTTGCTGTCCTGGGCACACCTGGCCAGATGTCATGTATCTGCCCAGGCTACCAGCATTATGGTCCATGATGTAGCTGCAGTGGTCCACGAGGACCTGTGGGACAATGGAGCAGCAGCTCTTGAAGCTGAAATGCTACCAAGGCTCAGTGTATCTTACCAGATGGGGATGTGGAGCCTTTTGCTGGCTCCATCCACTGGGGCACATGGTGAAGGATCCCCTCACCCCCACCTTGGGGATGCTGGAGTGTTGCTTCCCTCCATCAGGCACACAAGTTTGAGGTGGCCCTATGGGCTATGGCATGTAAGCAAGAGCAGCACATGGAGGAGAGACAGGCAGGGGCAGAGGAGGGGGTGTTGGGCAGGAGGGCAGAGCCTGTCCAGGGTGGTGGATAAGCACGATGAGTGTGGGCTGCTCTGCACCTTCTGCTTGGCTCCCTGGGGGAAACAGTGCCCATGTCCCTGGTGCAAGACAGGGGACTTGAGTCTTCTGGGGCTGGAGGGGTGATGTCACCACCGGATAACACACACCAACTCCTGTGCTGACAGCAGAACCTTGCTGGCACACAGAGTCCCCGCTGCCCAGGCACAGCCCAGCATGGGTTATATTTTTCCAGTGATGTCTCGGGTGTTTGAGGGTGGCACAGCTCTGCATGGAGCAGATGGTGTTGGTTGCCATTGCTGTGGTGAGTGGGCATTGTTTGTCCTCCAGAGCATCGTGTGGGTTTCATCGCTTTTGCCATCCATGAACCTTAGACTCAGGTACCAGGTGGCTGCATCGCACTGATCTACGGTGCCACTGTCCCCAGGTGAATTGCTGGGGTGCCCAGCTTTGAGTTCAAGCCAAGGCCAAATGCCAACAAAAAAACTGCAGAAAATGAAGCAGTACAACCTCTGATTTTTGCAAGTTGGGTCTAACAACAGACTGTATTTTAAAGGAGAGAAAAAGGACGTAAATGTTGAATTTCGAAACATCTTCCAGACCTGGAGCTCTCATCTCCAGAGTCCCAGACCATGTGTTGCTGTGAGATGGCCCTTCTCAGCACACTCCCCTGCAGGGCAGGTCCATTTGTTCATGCAAGCATCTGATGTTTGCAAATTTTTAATGATTATATTTAAATGCCTTATAAAACTTTTTCATCTAATATCTTAGCCCTATAAATCACTGCTCTTAGTAGCTAATTCATAGGTATCAATTAATAGTCTTTAATTGGTTAAAGTCACCCATGGTTTATGCTGATTCCACCGATGTGTTAAACCAACAACAAAGTCTTTAATGCACTGCAAGCACAGTTTAGTATCTACCCAATGACCCACGTCCACAAGACAAGTCCCGCTGACACAGCAGACAACGATGCTCTGGGATGGAGAGGAAGAGGCTTTAGCTGTTGTTTGGAAGCAGCATTTTATTGGCACTTAGTGGAAGGAAAATGA